CCTGATAGGGATGAAGGTCAGGGGTTCAGTGCCTGATTCACATGAGCAAAGTCCAGGTTCAGTCTGCAGAACCACATATGCACAGCACAAAACACCATTCTACTACTAGGTTAAAAGAGCTAAATGGCATTTTCAAATCCAGAAAATATTCATACTTTCAAACCGCCTTGTATCATGTATTTGTGTGTATATGCATATATATGTATATGTTTAACTATATATTTATATTAAAAATATGTATATACATATATATGTGTATACACACACACACACACACACACATGCACACTGACTCTCCACCACATATTATATATATATAAATATATATATATATATATATTTATAATATTTTTAATGGTAACTGGTTATACTTTAGAGCTTTTAATAATTACCTTCTCTGTTTCTTTTATCAGTTTAAATTTCTTAATACTCTTTTCTTACAAGTGTAGTCACATGGCAAGGTCGTAAGATATTTACACTGACTTAAACTCTGAATAGTCTATCTTGGAAAGGCTGGGAATTGCAGCAGAGAGGTAGCCATGACCCTAGTAACACAGTATTTACAACAGTGATATTGTCACTAACATCAGTCTTAACTTCCTTCCCATTTGGGTGGAAATCTTTGGCATGAAACAAATTTTAAATTCTGTTTTAAATTAAATATTCTGTGACAGTTCTTTTGAGGAGATTGACTATTTAAAAATGAATCTAAGGGCTGGGAATGTGGCTCAAGCGGTAGCACGCTCGACTGGCATGCATGCAACTCCGGTTCGATCCTCAGCACCACATACAAAGATGTTGTGTCCACCGAAAACTGAAAAATAAATATTAAAATTCTCTCTTGGAGGGGAGGGGAGGGGGGGATATGGAGGGCAGCAGAATACAACTGACACTAGGATTGCTGTATGTATACACATGGATGTATGACCAATGTGATCCTGCAATCTGTACACTTGGAAAAATGAAAATTCATACCCTATATGAGTCAAATGTATGATATGTCAAGATCATTGTATTGTTTTGAACAACTAATAAAAAAAATTCTCTCTCTTTAAAAAAATGAATCTAATATATCAGAGAGACATTTATGAAGCTAATTGTTTAAATTAAAAGATAATTTTTAAACTCCAGCCTCCTGTCCTCATTTTGTTTAGATAGTGACTGGCAACTAAATTCTGGGAAACTCTGAGTCATTAATATTTCTTTCTTCTCCTTTTTTATTATTATTCAGGTGCTTATTTTAGTGTAGACTATTTTTTAAATATTATTTTTAGTTGCAGTTGGACAGAATACCTTTATTTTATTTATTTATTTTTATCTGGTGCTGAGGATTGAACCCAGGGCCTCGCACATGCTAAGTGAGCACTTTACCACTGAGCCACAATCCCAGCCTCACTGTAGACTATTTATAATACTATGCCTACCACTAAAGCAATTAAATATGCTGTGGAAATGTGATTTTCTCTATCTAAAACCAGGTGAAACATTTGGAAGTAAAGGAATTACAAAATTATCCCTAGAGAGTACTTACGTAAGTAAATAGAGTTTGTTTGTTTGAAAATTCACAATATTTTCTCTATGCGAATGGTCATAATTTATAGGTTAAAGTCTCTGTGAAATTAAATCATGGGATAAAGAGCAAACTTTAGGAGCTTTCAAAAATGTCACCTGAAGCATTTTTACTCAGCAACATCTAGGAAGATAAAATATTTATAAATCTTTAGTTCAACTTATCAAAAATTAAATAAAATTCATTTCTGCTCGATCTATCTTTGAAAACAATTCTTTGTCACCCTAACTCTATTATGAGATTTTATTATAGTAGAAATAAATGTCTTTCCTACTTAACATAAATAATTTTTGTTGTATTTTAATTATTTTTCTTTCTCTTATGATATTTTTACTGAGACAGAATCAAGTTGGATTAAAAAATTATAAAATTAGAATTACAAAATCATATGTAAAACTTATTTGTATCACTATGTGGATATAAATAAATAGAATTTATGAACATACTTAGGTACATATTTATACATGTATATATCTTTGGGGTTTTTTAGGCACTGTCTTTTTATATATTATGTGGGTTTATTGAAATTCTTTATAGTATTCATCATTTCTTTTGGTTTGTATAGTATACTTAATGATTTATATAAGAGTAAAACATGTCTGGATACAAAATTGATTCACTATGCCCATCTGAATAATAAATATCAAAAAGCAAAGTATTCATTCATAAATATTAAATGAGGTGATAAATAAACTTTTGGAAGTCAGAAAAGTATAGGCCTCTTCTGAATGAGTTCTAGGGTACTTTTAAAATGCATATTTCTGGACTCTACTTCAGGCACATGATTCAAAATCATTAGTGTATAGCATAGCAATCTCTAGTTTGGTTAAGTCTTGGGTGATTCTTATTTCAGCACTGCAAGCAAGATACATGACATTTCAGAAGATTTTGAGTTTTGAAAAGAACTACTTAATTGCTGAGAAAAGATATTGGTTATCAATCTGCTCACTCTAATGTTTTATTTTCTTATTTGTTTTATATTTATGTAGACACAATCTAATGAGTGTAGTCTTTTCATAAGGAGTGAAAGTTTTTTTCTAGAAATTTGTAAATTTAAAATGTCAATTAAATGTTTGTTTTATTTTACTTCAACTTTCTATATGATTCTACCACTAGTATTTAAACTCAAAGGCTCCTAGTTTCCAAGTTTTTATTTTATTTTTTTTTTCAGCTCTTTCTCAGGGTAGCCTCATACATCAAAGCTTATGTTTGCATCCAGTCTTACTCAGCCATTCAAATTGCTTGTTTATGGGACTGCAGCAAACTGAAACTCTGATTACACTCTCTGCACCAAGCTGCAATGACTCCATTCTCGATTGCTACTGAGAAAATGTTTTTAAAAATCCTTCTATTGGAGATATTTTCATGACACATATTCTCATTTCTTGAAGCTCCTTTAAAAGCTCATTTGGGCTACTTCTGTTATAATTGAAAAATAAAGTATGTCATAAGGTATTGATTTTCATATGATATTAGAAAAAAAGTGGGACTGTTACAACAATGAGCCATCCTAAATACTGTAGTATTATAAATAACAATAAAATTAATTTTTGTTAAAAAATAACTGTTAGAAACTAAATATATAAGAATATAAACCCTTCTAATTATAAAATTATTTATTTGAAGTGAGTATGAAAGAAAGATGTATTCCCCCATATCTTGTCTAGGTTTTAATCCACAGGTTTCTTCAACTCTAGGAATATAGGAAAGATACTTTCTATTGGTAAGCAACTATGAACTCCCTAATTCTCTAAGAAAGATGAAGAACCATATATAGCATTAAACAGGAAAACGTGTGTGTGAATTTTGAATAGAAAAATTATTGTGCCAGGGTTCCACTAAAATGTATTTCACATAGAACCATTTTCAAAAAGGTCCTCTTCTTTTCTGAGTAAACTTCTTAATCTTACACTTTTAATGAAAGTGTATTCTATTTTATAGAAAAGGAATAAAATACAAAAAATACTGGAGGAGTTGAACAGATCTGTCTTTGTCAGCATCTACAAACTTATCCCTTTTCTCCTTGTTTTGCCTAAAACTCTTCTTTTTTCAGACATTTGCATGTTCCATCACCCATCCTAGAGAGCAGGGGACCAAAGCAGTTGACCAGATACACTTAGCAAAAGTAAAATGAAGCTTAACCCCCATTCCTTCCAGCTTCGTTACAACTACTATCTAAGAGTGCTAACTCCCAAGAGAACCTTTGGGTAGTCTGGATTTCTTCTATGGCTATTTGTTTTTCTTTTTAGGGGGTAGGGAGTAAGGCAATTTAGGGTAATTCTTATACAGTTTTATTTAAAAATAGCAAAATAGAGGAGTATAATTAATGTAAATAGTGGATCTCTAACCTGCCTTTGGTCCTGGTTGGAATTTGAGATATGGTAGAGGCTATTTATGTAGGTAGATGAGTGGTTTACTATACTACATGGAGGGTTATCCCTAATGCTCCAGCTTCAGGAAAGTTCCAAGAATTTAGATGCAAGACACTTTGTAGCACACTCATGCTCAGGATTTTTAGGACTCCCTCCCCCCTCCTCTTTTCTACTCAGTGCAGCTATGCTATAAAACGTTAATGCATACTTCAGAATTTTGGCCTCACATTCATTTGGTTCAGCATGCTTTCCAACACTGCAGCAAGGCCAACTCTTGCAGACATGTATTCCCCTGAGCATTCATTCAACTACATTCCCATCCACCACAGGGAGGGAGTAGCAATAACCAGTGCAGGGTCTCCAGGCTTTATTTTTGCTCCTTGGCTCCACGGGCCTTCTACCTGACTATAGGGATGTCCTGTGCAGATTCAGAGATGCTCTATCAGGTTTGACAAGCCGCCTTCCATCGGGCCCTGAGCAGGACCGCTGTCCTTGGTGCTGAACCATGTTTGCCCATCAGGAAGTCGGCTGCAGGGTCAATGGGGCTGGATAGAAAACCTGGCTAACTGAATAACCAGGTGCAGGAACAAGGGATACTTTGGTGTATAGAAACAGAGCTGCCCCCGCCCCCATCTTCCCTCACAACATCTCTCCTGTGTGCGCCAGGACCCGATTTGCAGTTTTCTCCCCCAGACCCCCACCCAAATGCCTTCAACATGGCCTCATCCTCAGGCGTGTGCAGCAAAAGCCCACCTCGACAAATCGCACTGCAGTAATAGAGAAAGGCTATTCCCCCAATACCAAGTCTAAAGGGATAGCTTTACCGCTCTCAAACAAAACCAAAATAAAATCCAATACATGAATAAATAAACGAACGTAACCTTCCTCTTTCATCCCTCCTGTTCCCGCCCCATATATTCACTCTGCCCCAGATTATAAAGCCCCAAATCCTAGAAGAGTGTTTTAAATCTGGGTGGTCTTCCTAGTTCCACATCCCCACCCCTTCCCCCCACCTCTCCGGGGGAAAAAAAAACGACGCCTAAAAAGGCACATCTTACCCTGGGTAGAACGAGAGCAGGAGCAGAATCCACACCGTCATTTTCTGTGAAAATACAGGAGTCGAGTAGACAGAGCTTCCTGCGCTCCATATATTTGGCGAACTCATCGCTTTTTTTTTTTTTCCTCTCTCGTGTCTCTTGCCTCTGGTTGCAGAAGAATCCCTCCCCTTTGTATTATTATTATGCTTATGGTTTGATGGTGGCTCCCCCCACCTGCCTGTAGTAGGTCCCGTCACTGGGGAGATGTATTGCTACCAGCTTCGGGATTAATATTCAGGGGGCAGAAATAAGATCAGCACAAACGCTTGCAGATACCATCAAAGCGTCAGCTCAGGCAGCGGCTTCCAAGTCTGGGGGAATAATATAATTGAGGTAGGGGGAGGGCACAGGGAGAGATGCACAGTGAGACAAATAGAGAAAAGCACGCACATTCATGCTGCTCACACTCACGCGAACTCCCCCAGTTCCATCGTTTTAGGTTTTATTTATTTGCTTTGTTTTCTTTCTTTTCTTTTTTTATTTATTTATTTTTCCTTTTAATAAGGGCAGTGTGTGTGTGTGTGTGTGTGTGTGTGTGTGTGTGTGTGTGTTTAAAAGAAAGGAAAAAATCACTAGAAGCTCTGCGTGATTATCACGCAGATTAACTCAGAGGTCAAAGGGGAAATGATGCATGCTGCTGCAGCAGGAATTAACACATGAATGGCATCCTGCCACTGCTTTTTAACCCTTCTATGCATACAGACATGTAAGGATTGGCCTTCATGGAAAGAAGAGCTGCTTTAGCAAGTCCATAAACTACATCACTAATGACAGAAGGTTTGTCTTGTCACATCTGCCAAGAAGCCTTAATTTAAAATTGGGCAGTCTTAGAAATCAGGATTACATTGTTGGGGGTGGGGAAGCACTGGGGAAAGTGGCTGCTTTCCTATAAGCCATCCTGTAAGAAGATGGATTTGGTGAATTTAATTTGAGTGAAGGGAGAAAATGCAGATGGGATTACAAGACATGGGAACATTCTATGCTCCCAGGATTCTATTTCAACTGTTTCAGCTCTCCAACTCCAATGAAAACGTGAAGACATGAACTCCTTGAAGACTGAAGAAGACAATTTCATCCAGATAGCTGCTAGAGCAAAGAACATAGACCACACAATAGGGGCCTTCTTTTTTGCAGAGGGAATTCTGTTTCTTTTATGAGAATTGAAAATTTTGGGTCCTTTAGTAGCAATTCTAAACATTCCTGGGGTGGATGAGTGGTATTAGAATGTTTCCTTCTAGTGTAGAATGTTGCCATGGATACTGATAGAATGGAGATACCCTTTTTAATGCCAACCCAGATCATCCATCACAGAGGAAACCCCACTCACTCATCAAGGGGAAGAAGATGGAGGAATGTTGCCTGGTTCCCAGAGAGCCAACATGCCATAACCAAGGTGTTCATAAAGAGATTCAGAGGAATCGGACCTCTTCCTGGAAAGTATAAGGAAGTTGTCTCTAAAGTGGTACTTTTTCTTCAAGAAAAACTCTTCCAGAAATGAAATTTGAGTGGCAGGTCCAGGAGACAGGAACAGAACACAAGATGATCCGGTCCAAATTCCATCACTAACTCCAAAACATACCCCAAAACACAGAGAGAATTACTGGTGGCTGCTGCTCATGCCATAGTCCAAAGAGATGTATTCTGACAACAAACTTTGACAGATACACCTCAAAATCTGCATGGCTTTCAAACTTTGATTTAAGAAAAGTTACTTTTATACATTTGGAGGAAATATGAATAAAACATAGCAAAAGCAAAAGCATTCACATGTAGTGAAATTATTTCTTTCCACTGAGATTAAAATGGAGGCAGAACAATGTAAATCCCATTTCTCTGAAATTCTCCTGTTCCTTGCTGCAATGAGGAACATTGCCCCTCTCTGGTCAAAATTTGACTTTTTAAAAGAGCCCAGGTTGTTTATAATTATAGTGGTCTTAGTGAAGACAACTCATCATATTTTCATAAGGCCTAAATATATATACTTAGATGCTTATAAAAATCAAGCAAGTTTGAGAAATAAAAGAAGCAGGCTCATTATGAATTTGTAAAGTGGCAGAATCCATGCAAACTAGAGTGGTCATCTGAATGTAGTTACCACTGTCTGGTCCCAGAGTTCCCAGAAGAAATGTCAATGATAATTATTTTGTGAAATGTCCTAAGAAGGCCAAATCTAATAGGCCTTCAGGCTACTAATTTGCATATTTAATTATAGACTATATATAAATAAAACTACATATAAGAAATCTGTTTTCTACCATACAAGATATTCTCAATTTTCCACTGTAAACGTTTTCAGGTAAAACTGGATTCTGGAGAAAATGCAATTCCAGCCACTTTCCAGCCATTGGAAGGCTAAGGCAGGAGGATCACAAGTTCAAGACCAGAGTATGCAACTTAGTGAGACCCTCAGGTGAGTTTGTTTAGTAACAAGCATAATGATGCTGTGAGAATGAATGCTATCCTTCACAAAACTCACAGCCATAATGGAATATAATGCTCCCTTAACTTATGATCTATTTCAATAACAGAATAGCTTCCAGCCTGGTAAAAGATTTCATAGAAGAAATTTTACTATTTGTAGAATCTGGGCACAGTTTTAATTGTGCTGTTCATGCCTCGTTGGTCTCACTATGCCTCTGTGGATCTTTCTGATCTGTTGACTAGTCTCTGAAAAAAAGTTATTTTAATAAGTTTTCTAATATTTTGCATGTTACATTATTGGTATATTTAAGAGACATTGTCTTGTTTCTTTTGTAATCACCTTGTAGGTATATTTCTTCTTAACCACTCTGAAGAAAAGATTTATAATACATAAACATAACCATTATTTGGTAAACATGATGTATATATAGTCACTGAAATAGTACATATGTTTATGTATATATTTATTTACATACAATTTATTAAAATTTATAAAAAACATTGGGAAGTAGAAAGACAAAAACTACCACCTATGGCCTTTGATCTAAATGAGGCATTGGCATTATGCTAGAAAGTTATTTTGGATGTGAACGTTTATTTATTTATGTTGGTACTGGGAATGAACCCAGACTCACTTAACCACTGAGTCAGTTAAGTACCTAGCCCTTTTTATTTTGAGACATGTTCTCCCTAAGTTGCTTAGTGCGTCCACAAATTACTGATACTTACCTCAAACTTGCAATCTTCCTGCCTCCTGCTTCCTGAGTCACTGGGATTACAGGTGTCTGCCACCATACCCAGCTGAATTTTTATTTTTGAGTAAAGTCTTCATTTACTTTTAATTCCAATCTACAGTATCATAATTATTAACATTATGGCCACTACACTCAGAAACAAATTATGAGATTAAAATTGAACAAAGTACAAAATCTCTCATTATTTGAGAAATTAACCATTCTGTAGATAATAATTATAACTGTTGGAAAAATATTAAACATACAACAATGTTAAGTAGAAAATTACCAAAAGTGATTAGAAAGTGTGAAGAGGAAACAGAATTGGATGTGACTTAATGTTTTGTGGCATTTCTCATCAGGACACTTAAAGGGTGAAAACCTTTTTCTTCCTATTTCCCTGACATTGTCTTGTTTTTAGAATGAAGACTCCCACATCCCAGGAAACCCAGAAGTGTAAGAAGCCAGAAACAGCAGAAAGCAGCAATCTTACTGGATTGGAGTTTCAGAGGAGGGTAGGGACTGCAGAGCAGCATAATATGAGGACATCACTAGCAAAACAACAAGAGAAAGATAAGACTCCATATCTGAATATTCATTTGCCTCAAGTGTCTGTTTTGTGTGGAAAGGAGGAACAGATAGTAAGAAGCCAGGAAGAAGGCAACACTTGAAAATGTGTGAAGTCTGAGCCAATATTTCAGCTGCCACTCACTGCAGAAAGTGCAAAGTTTGGAACTTTAATTAAAGGATCATCATTACCATAAGAGATGTTCCTTTTGGATTTTGGAAGGACCACAACCTTTACCTGTCCTGGACTAAATACTTGCCCTAACAGTGAGGACTGAAGCTGATGAACTTGAAAACAGTGAGAAACTTGAAAACAGTTAGAAATTGGTTAGTAATTTAACTAACATTACAACAAAAACCGCCATTGTTCAGAAGAAAATAACTAATCAAGAATGTTATTAATATATTCCAGAAAATGTCAAGTACATGGTAAAAAATATTAGATATACATAATACAGTATGAGAAGGTATTAAAAATAATTTCAGTCAATAAAAGAGGTAAAATGTAATGTGACACAGTGTAAATCGCAGATGAGGACATTTAATCAAACATTAAAAACATTTAAAGCACTTAAAATATAAATCTGATCATGATGTTTGCATGAGCAAATCATCAAGCAGCATGAAATCTCAGCAGAAAAGGGAAAACTAGTAAATAAAAGCAAAGTGGAAATTCTAGAGCTTAAATTTTTAATGTTTGGGAAGAAAGATACACTGCATGCACCTTAATAGCAGAAACACACTTGTAGGAAGGCAGAACATAGGAACAGTAAACTTGAACACAGACCAATAAAAATGATCCAGTATAAAAAGTACAGAGAAAATATACTGAACACCAAAAATTAAAGGAATCCTTGGGAATGGTGAGCTAAAATCAAAAAATACTTATAAAATTTTATAGGAGAAGAAAAAAATTAAGCAGAGACACATTTAACTTAATAATGGACAAAATGACCCTGAATTTGTTCTGGAAAATATTAACATAGAGATCCAAGAAGCTCAGTGGATGCCATGCAGGTTAAACAATGAAAACTATGTCTAGGAACTTATATACAGGTCATGTGTCTACAAACTAAAGATAAAATGAAAAGTTTGAAAGTATCTTGAAAAAATGCAACATTATAATTGCAATTGCTGGTGGTCAATGATATAGTAATAGTTGACTTACCACAATAACTGTGGCCAGGAAAGTGGGTGAAAACATCTGTAAATCATCAAAATTAAATATATCCATAGAATTATGAATTTGGTAAATAAAACCTTCAAAATTAAAGCAAAATAAAAATATTTCCAATAAGTGAAGGCTGGGAGAATTTGTCACCAGTAAAGCTGAGCTAAAAATAATTCTAACAATTTTATGCTTAAAGAAATACCAGATGGAAACACAGATCCATATTAAGGAAGAATGCTGAAAAATGGTTAATATGTGAAAAAAACATTAAGCATCATATTATTTTAGCTTGATTTGTTTAAAAGACCCTAAGCTCCTTTGGTTTCTGTTTTAATTTTTAAAAATCTTTTTCCATTTTATTTTTGACACCCGGACTATATAATGCTAAAAATTATAATACTGAATTCTGGAGTTCACAACACACACATATAAAAAATATGTTAGCAATAGTACAAGCACCCCAGAGATGGAGTTAAATAAACTCATACTATTACACATTTCCTGCATATCTTATGAATTGGTATCTGAGTAACCATAAATAGAATATGATAAATGAAACATGAAAATAGTAATCATTAAAACATGACAAAAACCCAACTAAATAACACTAAATTAAAATCTAATATTACAAATAATTTAGTAAGTACCGAGCAAGTAGAAAATACAGAAGAGAAGAGGAAAATAATTGGATAAATAATGGCACTTAGCAAAATGTTGGCTGA